GGGGGGGGGGGAATTGCCCCGGGCCCGGGCCCCGAGGTGCTGGGGGCCCCTGAAAAATTTTTGTTGGGCCCCAGTCTTTTTTGTGTGTTAAATATTTCCGCGCAAAGGACAAGATATCTGTTTTCTTGAGATAAGTACCGAAATTTGGCATAAAAATATGAGATAAAGTCACTGGAAAGCAATAGCAACGTACTGGTCCGGAAATTTTTTTACCTCTAAAATGGCACAATGAGCAAAAAAGTTTTGGCGACGGTGAGGGGGGGGGGGGAGGTTGTTGTCCGCAAAAAATTTTTTCTGGAAATTTTTTTGGGGATAGGGGCCCCCCAAATAAAATTTGCCCCGGGTCCCCCCCCCCCCAACCTCTCTGCGGCACTGGTTGCAATCAGTTACAATAGCCAGGGCCAATTTAAGGAATGTAACAGCAGGCTACAAGATAGCAGATTGTATAGCAAATATGTGTTACAAGGCACTAAAGTACGTGTTTTAATATTTCATGAGGTGTTTTAAAATTTCTATAATAAACGACTTCAAGTGTATCATATATACCATCTCAAATTAATCGGCTTAACCCTTTAAGTGGCAATGCGCCCTGATGCACCTTATTTTATTATCTAACTCTGTCTGCCGCCAGACGATATTACTCATCAAAGGGAAAGTGATGCCACTGACCACTCAATGGGTTAATCAGACTACCTGTATACTGTTAACTCTGTAAGACTGCTGGCACTCAATGGGCCTATGCCTCCTGCTAACCATTTAAGTGGCAATGTCCCCCAAAGCTGGTTTAAGGTGACTCCTACAGTTTACTAGAAAATGGAAGTTCTACGATTTTTCAACAATTGCTGTACATCAAAAGACAAAGAAAGTTCGATTAGAAAAATAATAACTACAAGTTGGATTTTTTCATAAAGACAGGAATCGCAACTGCCTTTGCTGTGGCAACAATGACGATTCAATATGGCCGTTGATCCTGACCAGTTTTTTCTTTGCTTTTATCAGTGATCCAGTCCACGGCTATAGGCACTTCTGGCTGTTTCCCTGCATATTTACAATGGCATTCCTTGCATGCTATTTCGCATGTTACCATAGCATGACATGCCATATTGAAATGGCCTTCCCTTCGTTTTCTCTCACTATTTATTCCTTTTTATTCCTTATTCAAATTTTATTTTATTTTCGTGAAGAATCTACACTAACAACAGGACGAAAGGAAGAAATTTTTGAAAATGATAAAGTGTTCGTTGAAGGCATTTCCACAAAAACTTCGAAAGATTCTCTTAAGTATTATATGGAACGAATAAGTGGTTTACCCGTGAAAGACATCACGTATGGCACGAAAAGCAGTGACAGTGTTAATGCAGTTGGAAAATTTCACAGCACTGTAGGTGAGTCGAGAAACGATCCAGAAAACATAAGTGAGCATGTAGAGTGCCCAGTTTAAGTAAATTAGCTTAATTTGGTAATTTCATGTGCCCCACTTTATCATTTTACGCTATCACTTTGCACTATCCTTAGGATCTCTGCGTTGTTTATTTTTTCTAGCAAGTAACACAGAAGTTCAATGGACAGAAAGGTCGATAAAGCATGGCTCAAAATTGTCGGAATTTGTGGAACTTTTAAAAGCCAATCCATCAAAGGCAACACAAATTGGAACATACCGTGTTTGTTTTGATGATAAATTTAGCATTGGTGAAGGAAGTGAAGGAACGAAAGTTTATGTTGGATTATCGGATGATGGCTTTGAAGTGGCCGTAAAATGTATGGATCTGAAAAAATGTCGGCAAATGGGTGATCATGAGAAGAAAATCTTAACTTGTCAAAAGGTTCGAAAAGAAGCTCACATTGTTAACTATCGCTTCTTTCATCAACCAGATGGATCTAAAACAGCTTACTTGGTTTTGGATCTGCATGAAGAAAGCTTGCGGGATTATGTTCTTAACGAGGAACGCTCCACAGAACAGTTACGAAATGAAGGTTCAAGTATAATATGTCAAATACTCTATGGTGTAAAAACTCTTCATTGTGGTAATCCAGAAATACTGCATCGGGACTTGAAACCGTCAAATATACTTGTAACTGTGGAAGGTGAGATGGTGCTTGCTGATTTTGGAATTAGTCGAACACTACCAAAAGAGCAAACAACATACAGGAGCGGTGTCAGAGGAACTGAAGGCTGGATGGCAGTGGAATCACTTCCAAATGAAGATGACGACGATGATTATCTATCTTACGAAGATATCCAAGTTCGTTATAAGAAACAATCTGACATTCAGGTTGTTGGAATGCTATGTTACTATGTCTTGACCAAAGGAAAACATCCATACGGTACACGAGTTCATCGAAATAGTAATATATCAAAAGGAAGTTTTGATTTGAAGGATCTAAGTGATCCATGTGCAAAAGATCTTATTGCATGGATGCTCCAGCATGATCTTCGCAAACGACCCAATTTTCACAAATGTTTGAAACATCCATACCTGCGAACGGATGAAGAAAATTTTAATTTTGTCACACGTGTTGGCAACGAAAAAGAAATTAAAACCAAGGATACTACTTCAATCGTTGTTCAAGAATTAAATAAGTTGCCTGGATTGACCAACTGGTTATCAGTGATCGAAACTTGGGTAATGAATTTCATGACTGCACGTCGTACAGCGTATACCAACGATGTCGCAGATCTACTGAGATTCATGCGAAACATGGCAACCCACTGGCGTGACAAGACACCACCTGCAAATGTCCAGACGACCGTCGTTACACCACAAGAATATTTTGAAAGGAAATTTCCAACACTTGCTGTTGAACTACATCAAGTAATCAGAGGACAATCCGACTGGACAGCAAGAGAAGGACTGAAGGGATATTTCTAAAGTCGTGTTTTAATATCATAAGTGTTTTCAGTGCAAGCCTAGGTGTGGCGTTGTCCCCATTTTGCTTGCGTCGAGTGCCTGATTAAAATGAGGCATGCAATAATCTGGCTTACTTGGGCATGTAGTGTAACATGGGTTTAACTATTTAGCTGCAACACGCCGTTAACTGACCTTATGCAGGTTTCCGTCCAATCTCCAGGAATCTCACTGGACGTTTTATATGTTGTTTATATCATTATTACGAGTATTCACCAAAGTGCTAGGCCCAAACTCGCCTTTATTTTAGCATTTGATTGTTGGACAAATGCTTGGTGGTATAAAATAGCCAATTATGTATAAAGGCGGTTTTCCAGTCCTCGCATGAAGCTCCTCGCAGCTCGCTACGAGTGATGCATGAGCAATTTCATCCAATCACAATGCAAAACAGTTAATTTTAATTAGATGCAAGCACTCGCAGCGAGGAGCTTCGTGCGAGGACTGGAAATCCGCCTTAACACAGTTTCTCAAGGCGTTCGAAAGTAATGCTGACGTCAGCACTTTTATTTTTCAAGACCAGCATGTAATGAATCCTATTGATTCAAACTTTTTTGTGAACACTCGTAACAATGATATAAACAACATATAAAACTTCCAGTAACATTATACCTCAACTTCAAATTGTCCAATCAGGAAGCTTAGTTTGTGGCACGTGAGCATGAAATTAATCGCGATGTCACGCCGTACGTCACCAAATGGCGAGCCTGCGTTCCTTTTGACAATGTTCCACCCTGGGGAGTGAGAAACATGGGGTGGAACATTATTCGCGCAGAGCATGCGAGACAACACGCATGCAACAAGATGACCTACAAAATATAAATAGTATTAGAGTGATGAATATTCAAATTTTAAAGGTAAAACCTGGGGCTCTTTCAATATATTAAAGCAAATTTTGAAAAATGTTGTCATTAATATTCCAAACGATATATGATTCGAAAGAAAAGCGACGATCCTTGCGTTAATCCGAAAATAAAACATCACATTCACGAAGTTATGTGTCAAGTTTTTAATTCTCAACTTGAACGCTTTTAATTTTCGGTTTTATATATCATTTATATACCCTCTGCTCTGGGGATTCAGCGAAATATTACCCTCAGTGATATTTTCCTCGGGGCTAAATATCATCACTTCGGGTAATATTTTACCGAATCCCCCTCGCTCGAGGTCCATAAATGACAGTTGTAACTGAAATTCCTGGAAATTGGACGGAAACCTGAATAAAGGCTGATTTCCACTGTTGCGTTTTTCGTACGCACGTACACGCACGTAAAACATGGAATCCTTCTATTTTTTAAATATTTTACAAATAAAGGACAAGTTGTACGTTGTGCTATTTATAGGTATCTTTTTGAGGAATAGCTGAATATGTGTGGAATATTTGAATCAAAACATGCAGCATTGGGCAGTGTTTTTCGATGTTTATATCAGTTTTTTTCGCATGCAGTTTGGTCGGAAAAAAGTACATTTCGGGCTTGGCACTGAAGCCAATTCACTGTATTTTACTATCTTTAGTATTGATAGGTGGATTTTTAAATATTTTGGGTAGTGTTTCGAGTTTGAAAATTGTCTTCACTCCTCGGCTTGTCGCTAAAAAATAACTCTTTTGGACCACGGTCAAGATATCGTAAAAAGCTGCCCGCTGCTGCAGCCAATCAGATTGCAGGAAATCAAAAAATATCACTCTAGGCGTGCATACATTTTTTCAATTTTTACTGACAATAAGCCTGTATAGTTTCATGAATTAGGTAATTTCATGAACTCGATAATACACAATAATTGGCCGTATTTATATTAGAAGACGTCTTGTGTTAAGTGCGACTAATATAAATACGAGATGAACAGTTGGAAACCAGTATAGAATGAAACCAAGAAAATATAAAATGTGGTAATTTGACAACCTTCTGCAGTGTTTCCCTGCTAAGTTTAGTCGTCTCGTATTAATACTAGACGAATTAAACGCCTAAGACGACTACGTCGTCTGTTAAGTGCGTTGTTTGGACAGTGTTAACAGACGACGTTAATTTTTTATTCGTCTATCTAATTTCCCGTATTTATATTGGACGACTTTTACGTCTGAGACGGTTAAGTCGTCTCAGACGTTAAAGCCGTCTTCTAATATAATGTGTTTTAATGCAAACTGATGTGTTTTAATGCAAACTGATATACATGAAATTGCAGCAAATGTTTATATCGTTCATTAAGCTAGCGCATCAGTTGTGTTTTTATGTTTGTTTATTTAATGGTCTTTTTATACTTCATCTGTTAAGAAAGGCGAGGGGTTGCTGCATGCATGCATGTATTTTCTAGTATTATGCTTTTATGAACTGGTAATTTTATAGCGATCCGTTTACGACTTTGAAAGATTTGGGACGTCAATTTTCGCAATCTTGGCTTCATTTTTCCAATGGGTCGAATGACGTTCTTACTCATATACTATATACATATATGCATAAAACTCACACTGCGCCAACCGCCAACCATTGGCTATATAGGCATGCATCGACCCCTGGAAAGCACCGCTATACGTTGATCTGATACAAGCCAAGGCTATAGGCTCAGTAATTGTAATTTGTGGTACGTTTACACTCTTTAAACATTGCCACAAGGCTTGGCTAAGGCCAGTCCTTGGCCAACGATCGTGAACCCAGATTGAAGACGTGAACGACGTGAACCCAGATTCCGTGGCCTATGGTTGGGTCTTTGTTTACAGACATGCAATAAAAAGGTAGCCAGATACATAAACATACTACAAAATATGGACGAATACGAAGCTCTGATTATCGAAGTGACGGGAATAAACCAAAGTACTACAAAAGACACTTTGGAGAACTATTTCTCTTACTCAAGACGTGGAGGAGACATTACGAATATAGATTATATTAAAGGAAGTGGGAATGCATCATTAACGTTTGCTAACGCCGAAGGTAGGAAAACAAAACTGTCTTTGTGTATTACAAGCGTATAACATTAACAATTTAATAGTTTGATCTGATTAGCGTCGAGTCGACCTAGCAAGCACATATAACATTATTTAAGCAAATTAGGCCAGGCTTCGTGTTTTGGCCGAACATGGAAGCAATTCAGAAGTATAAGAAGTTTTGGTACACAGATAATATTGTCTATAATGCGTAGCCGTAGGGTTTTAAATCATATGCAAACGATGAGTTAAGAAAATTTTGTTTGTCTTTTACCTTCGAAGTCAAGGCGTTGCGTTTCAATCAACAAGCTAGCTTGCAACTTTATAGTCATTAAACTTAATGTACTGAATATATAAAATCATATTTATATAATATGTCTTAAATCATGGTCGATTTTAAATATGCAGTTATGTCAATTCAACTACATTATTATAATATACCATCTAAGAATCGCATCAGTGCATTTCTTTTGAACCATAATGGCAATATCGTCATATTAATTTTGTAGACACAGTACAGTATAACATATAAACAAGGTTTTGTCACCTAATGACACAAACTGAACATGAACTATCAGGTTTACTTCCAGTTTTGTGTGGTGCATCAATTTTGTAATTATTGGAATAAGACAATGCAGCTTGTTGCATTTTTTATGCTAAACACTATGCTAAATATAATTTTATTCTCTTAAAAAAGCAGTGTATTGAACAAAAGTTCTCACAGAAGGGCCTTCGCTCGAAACGTCGAAATTCTCCTTATATATATTTTCAGGTAGTTGCATCCCTACCAAATAACGAAAGCTTGTTTACGTCACAGAATTGAATGTCACTATATACATACCTAGTTGTGACAAGGTATTACGGATTTCCCCAGTCTGACAGCCTCTAATGCGGGCTATGAGATGTATAATGGGACTATATGCATGCCAAAACTGCGTTGATAAAACGAAGCGCTATAGCAGAGTGTTTTAATTGTAGCCGGATTTACGTGTAGAGTTGTTTTAAAATCACTATAATAAATGAATTCAAATGCACATATATAACTTCTCAAACTAACCAGTAGTACGGAATTTTACGCGAAAGTTAATTTAAAAACTAACGGTATAGACAAGGATAATTTCTTTAAACGACGAGATGTCGATTAAGCACGTATAATTCTTAAATATTTTTAAGGTGCTAAAAAGGCTTTGGAAACCAGGTCGCATTTGCTTGAAGAATCTGCACTAACAACACAAAGAAAGAAGGCAGAAAATTCTGAAAATGACAAAGTTGAAGGCATTCCCACAAAAACGTCAGAAAATGATACCGAAGGAAAAAGCGACTTAGACGTGAAAGACATCACGCACGACACAAAAAGCAGTGACAATCTCAATGCAATAGTAACATTTTACAGCCCAGTAGGTGAGTTGAGAAACAAGCGCAGAGGTGTTTATTGCACAGTGGTTGGTGCGTGTTATACCTTCTGGGAAGAACAATTTGAACTAATAGAGCTGCAACCAAACTCCGCAAGTCCAATATTCCACAAAGTACGAAAGGTGCATGTTGGTCTTCAATATCAAAATAGTAATGAAAAACTTTTGTTTTAGATTTCGACAAGATGAAGGAAGGTTTCAAATCGAAACCAACGTTAGAAGGAAAATATATATCAATCAAGACAGTTCCTCCCTGTAAAACAATCTTAGTAAAAAACCTACCAAGTACAGCAACTTACGATTCCGTGTGGTTGAGATTTGAAAGTAAACGAGCTGGTGGTGCTGACGTCGAGGGAGTCCATTTAGACCCAGAGAAAAGAACAGCATTGGTTGAATTTAAAGATCCAAATGGTAGGACGGAGTTTTATTTTTTGTGAAGTAAAACTTTGTGTATATGTATATATGCATGTATATGTGGGAAAATGCGACTTCAACTGGTATTTTTAAATCGGATTGTAAAATGGCTATTTTTATAAAAAGTTATATCGTTCGACTGCTAAAAGCCTGATCTTTACTGGCATGAAAAAAGTAAACATAAACTTAATATATAATGCACCACGCCAAATAACATGCCAAAGTTTGATTACCTTTTTTTATTGCATAATGTAACGTATAGTAAGCTTTTGTAACGTATAGTAAAGAGATTGCTTAATACTCAAAAAATTCAGTAGAGCGAATGTAATTACTGTTCTTTCTTAAAATGTTTCTTTGTTTTTACTCCGAGTTTCACGCATTACTGCGATCATCAGGAGACATGTCTATATGTTGCTCTCTCATTGTTTTTGAGCACTCCGCTTTGTCTCTTTGTATATTCTAGTGATAGATAAAGTTCTTTCAGTGAAACAAACATTGGACAATACCACCCTATCCGTGGAACGTTATCACCCAATCCTTGGCAGCTTAGCCGACTTACAGACAACAGAACAAGAAATATCAGAACCAACCCGTCATGAAGTACCTACGGCTACGGTAAAACATGAAGACGTTATAGAAATCGTATCTGTTCATCTCAAATTGCTTGAAAGGTCAACAAAATTTCAAAGGCAAGCAACGCACTGACTTACCGGCCGACATGATATTAATAACCAATCAATAACATTAATTAAATAATAGCATAGTTGCCCGGGTTTCTTTTGTTTCAACAGGGTCGATTACTAACTAATCGCCCGCTGTAGCGGGCGATTAGTTCTAATCGCCCGCTAGAACGGGCGATTAGAACTAATCGCCCGTTACCAAGGGTCACACCTTTGTCTCCCTGACGACCACGCATTAGGCAAGTGCCTCACGCACATAATCGTGCAAGGAACAGCAACAGTTAGCTCAGAGCCGTCAATAGTCTATCATCCGATCCCTGAGTTGCCG